GAGATTCCGGTTGAAACTGCATTGTGTTTCTACGTTGAATGGCGAGGTTTGACGTCTTACCAGACGGAATCTTCTCCTGTCTAAGAGGTGTCACGCTCCACTTATTTAGGTTTGGTTTTATGCTCTTTAATTATGTGGAGGCCTAAGCATTGATTTTCCTAGCTTCCACCTTGCTGTGGTTAAGACTGGTCTTCCCCTTCTCAGGACAGGAAGACTTGGACCAAACACTTTGAGATAGATTTTGTTTGTAAGTCATTTGAACAGCCCTGGCCATTGCGATGATCAGATGAAGAACCAGAAAGGAAGAAGGAAAGTAGAGCAATAGTTCTAAATATCCACGTGTTACATGTGTGTCTTACTTCCTTTTAGGAAGGTCTATCACCCACCCCTATTTTACAAATGCGATAACTGACATCATGAGTTGACTTGGCCAAGGCTCGCAGTAAATGAGAGAAAGGGCTTTGCCTGAGCTTTAGGGTACCACATCTGGTGTTCCAGTAGCCAGACGTCACTCCCCACCCCATACTTGCCACATCCTTTCTGCACTTGTTACTTGTCCTAGTGGAGCTGATCCCAAACCAAATGGCCTTTCCTGGGGCAGGCTGCCATTCCTGAATTCAGTTTATGAACCTGTCAGTGTGGCCCAGCACCGTGCAGAGCCAGTCGAGGTGGCTTGGCCTGTTCTGCTGCTGTTGAGCACAGTGTGATGCCCAGAGGCTGGTTATACAGAGTACCTGGAGAAGCCCAAAGGGAGATCGACAGAGCCTGAGAGTTCTCTCCTGAGTCTCCTGAATCTTATGTCTTGTTATCCTGGCTGATCGGTAGAGGAACACCAAGTACAGGCTGCGTGATAAGGGGCCATTACAATATTCCCTTGGAATAAGAATTGGAGTGAATGGAGGTGTCCGACCTGAAATTTGCTTCCTGTTAAGCATCCTTGGCTGGGAACAAGTCTCCCTCCCCGCAGCAGTGTCAGCAGCAGTGCCGTCAGATGCTGCCTCCCTGGTTTGAATGCCCATCTTCCCTGTACAGAAACAGGATGTCAAATGCTTGCTTTTGTCCTTCTTCCCCCAGTGGAACTTGGGTGAGGAGGCAGAATGTTCTCTCATCTTCCTGACCTTTCCTGCAGGTGTGTGTGAGTATCGGCTCCTATTGCCTGCCCATATCATGATGGTGTGGTCCTGTAGCACCTCTGGGTTCTGTGACCCCTGGAGCCCTCCCGCCCTGGCTCTGCCAGGAGGAAGCTCACTGTGTGGATGGAGCCAAAGGCATCTTGACTGTCCTTTGGGCTTCCAAAGGGGCAGACGTCTGGACGGTGGGGCTCTAGACTCTAGGTTCATGTTCACATGAGGCAGCTCTTTTGTTTGTTGAGACTGTGGTATTTCACTAGACAAATGTACATTTGCTGTTAAGAGGAGATCCAGTCTGTGACATGCTGGAGGGACTCCTGTTCTCTTCGGAACATTTTTAGGAATGAAGAGTTGAGCTGGTTTACTTGTTCTCTGAGTGATTTGGGAGGGAGGCAAGCCTGATCCAGAAGACACTACAGGAGAGTTCATGTCTTTGAAACTATGCAAGTGTCCCTAAAGCAACCACCCTGCCTGCTGGTCGCAGAGCTCAGCTCAGTGATGGCCCACTGGTCATGGTACGTGCCTGCTGGTCGCAGAGCTCAGCTCAGCGATGGCCCACTGGTCATGGTACGTGCCATTAGGGTACAGGGTGCTAAGGAGAAAGCAGGACTCTGGTCTACTTAAGGAAGCAGCTCCCAGCGGTTAAAGCTTGGGGACACAATGCTTTCCTTCCCTGTCTGTGATCAGAACCAGTTGAAATAGAGGAATCAAGGGATTAGAACCTTCCTGGTGCGTCTAACAAAGCTAACGCTGTCGAGTGTGGTTTGTATCTCTGGGAAGTGTACTCCTGAAAGTGAACCCTGCGATCACACAGCCTCACCTACCCTCTCAGATAGCACTGGAGAACTGCAGACCTCTCTTCCCACCAGTCATCACCCTGACCTTTGTGCTCCCTCTGGCCATCGATGGAACAGGGGAGCGGGACCGAGAGGAAGCTGAGCTTCATATGTTCAGTTCATGTCTAGATTACCAAGCTCTGGGAAAAGGCCTTGAGTGTCACGTTGAAAGCTGTCCCTCCAAAGGAAACAACAGATCCGGAAAAGGAGGTTCCTGCCTTCTTACCAGTCCTGGTGATGAGCTCAAGGTGAAGTCTAAGGCATATGGAGTTTTGGTAGAAGGTGCCGAAAAGTCTGTTTAATCACGCGGGATTTTCAGAAATGGTGGGAGCACAGCTGGCTGGGGAGACGCACAAGTTTTAAACAGATTGCTCTGTGGAAATGCAGAGTGTTGGAGACAAACTTGAACCATGGATGGTGAGAAGGCCTCCCAACATGCTGAACGGAGTGGCTTTCAAGATCTCAGCAGTGTGGGTTGACCTCACCAACCCCAGGAGTTGGATATAAAGAATAGGGGCATAGCCCTATGAGAGGCCCTAGATATCAGGCCCAGACAGTCTGTGCAGTGCGGGATGGGCCTGAAGGACTGTGGCTCAGAGGGAGGCTCCTGGACTAGACGTGAATAGGGATACCCTGGTGTGATTTGGTACTAGGTTGATAAAATAGGAATGTTTCCTGGTCTGAACTGCATCGAGTTTTCTTTGGAGCAAAAAGGTGTTTTTCTGATCTGTTTCCCTGCAAACAGTAGAAAATTGCAAGGCCACTTTTTTCTTGATTTTGAAATGCTGTGGCCGATTTTTTTTTTTTAATTGTGAATTTTTCTCTCAAAACATGCTTTTCTAAGGTTGGCATTACATCTGCTGGTTTTCGCACCCAGAAGTTGGTGGCTGACAAGCAGGCAAAGGTTGAAGAAGACAAACACAAGCAGCGAACGTAAAGATAATCAAGACTTAGGGAGATCACGTTTCCATTTGATCTATTTTCTGACTGTATGTTTTAGGGTCATTCACATTCACCCACAAATGAATGTTATCTCCAAGTCCACAAAGTAGTTATTGTCCAGGTAGTCTGAGTCTGATATTTGTCTGTCCGGAGATTGATGTGATTGTGGAACCCTTGGCCGTTTGTTGCCTCCAAGATTGTGTGAGTTATTGTTTCAGGATCTCATAAACTATGTGAGATGCTGAACGCAGTGCCAGAACAGAAGACAGGAAGCTGTCCAATGACAGCTTCGTGGTGAAATAGTCACTGGATTGCATTTTGAAAACGATTATTTCATTTTTGTGCCTGCAATCAAATATCCCGACAAAAAGCAATTTAGGGGAGAAAGAGGCTTATTTCGGTTTACAGTTCCAGACCCGTCACTGCAGGGATGTCAGGGTAGAGCTTCAAACAGCTGCTCACATCACATCCACAGTCAAGAGAGCAGACAGAGATGAGCGCATCATGCTCTCTCGCCTGGTGGCTTGTGTTCAGCTTGAGTTATCCACCCATACACAGTTCAGAACCCCCTGCGTCGGGAATACTGCTGCTCACAGTGGGCTGAGTCTTTCCATGTCAATTAACTTAATTAAGACTGTCTCCCACAGACATGCCTCCAGGTCAACCCAGTGTAGATAATTCCTCAGTGAGACTCTCTTTTTAGGTGAACATTGGGTCGTGTCAAGTTGACAAAGTTAACCATCACACTTATAGCACACAGCATAAGATAGCTCAAATATGAAAACCTGACGGCTAGTTATAACGTTCTTACATGCCAGATGCTGTTTTAGGAAATAAGTAGAAAGGAGGGTACATTTCACAGCTTTGTGACATCTTTACTTTTAACATATTTTTCATTTTTTATGTGTATGAGTATACTGCCTGCATATATGTAAGCACACCTGTGTCATGCAATGCCCGAAGAGGTCAGAAGAGGGCATTGACTCCTCTGGAACTGAAGTTATAGATGGTTGTTAGTTACCGTGTGGGTGTTGGGAACTGAACCTGCATCTTCTGCAAGAGCAACTAGTGCTGACCGTCTGTCCAGTCCTGCCTCCTTTATTTTTAAATCACATAAATAGGGCCGGGCGTGGTGGCGCACGCCTTTAATCCCAGCACTCGGGAGGCAGAGGCAATTGGACCTCTGTGAGTTCAAGACCAGCCTGGTCTACATAGTGAGTTCCAGGACAGCTGGGGCTACAGGGAGACCCTGTCTCAACCCCCCCAACCAAAAAAAAAACCCCACACAAATTAGATTGGTGTTTCTTGCTGAGATGCCGTGTATGGATAGAAAATATTTATTTTTTTTCCCAGTTACTTTTTTCAAAGCCAAAGAAGGATTATGCAGGTATTTTCGGAATAGGGGCCCCTCTAAGAAGTCAGTGAGGGCTCTTCTCAGACTTTCCATGGAAGCCTGCGGTGCTGAGAAGGGCATTCCCTCCAGGGAAGGACCGTCATGGTTCACTGAGCTTCCCCAGGCACTAATATTAAAGCTGCACAGCATGAAGACCTGTCGGTGGGAGCTTCACAGGGAAATCACCATGGCTCTTTCCCTTTTAGATGTCTATTTTAGGAAGGACTTAGAGTTTTTGGCTGTGATTGCTCGAGCATGTGAACACAGTTGATGGATTCACAAGCTAGACCTTGACTCTGGGGCCCTTTGTCATGGACAGAGTCTGAAGTTTAGTGTGCACTGTCTGTTGGTGAGGGCAGTGTCCACTTGGCCTGTGCTCTGAGGTAAATCTTTTAGTCTGTGCGTCTTTCTTCCATGAGCTCTGATGAGATTTTCAGTATGTTTCCTAACTGCTTTACAAAGACTCAGAGCTCTGTGCCTCCAAAATTACACGAACAGAAGAAAATCCTCACTGAGCAAACACTGTGCAAGTTTTCATTTAGTCAAGAAAAGAGATTAACGGCGTAATATTCCAGCATCTGAGGGAACAAGACCATTTAAAAGTGAAACTAATATTTGTATCTATTCATTTCTATCTTTGCATCTGTAGTTACGGAATGAGAATGCAAATTCTGACCAGCCTTTTGATATTCCTTCCAGGGACACCTGTGTGGTTCTTTGTGAAGATTGCTCCAATTCGAAACGAACAGGATAAAGTGGTTTTGTTCCTTTGCACTTTCAGTGACATAACCGCTTTCAAGCAGCCGATTGAGGATGACTCAAGCAAAGGTTTGTAATTCTGATTTGTGCAAACGCCTTTCTGTGGGCTCCTTTGCTCTTCCTCTAGCTTTTGCTACAGATATTTGAGGTTGCCAAGGCAATCTCGCACAGAGATCAGGAGTTAAACTTTAATTTGTGTTGGGTAAAGTACTGGGTCATTCTATGATTTACTGGGGGAAGAGAGAAAAGAAGTTGTTTGGTAAAGCATTTTACCAACTTCAGATCTTTAGAAAGTAACCCTTTCCAGTTATATTTGGATGGAAGGAAGCATTTGGGCCCATCTGACCTCCTCAGCAGGAGTTCTTCAGGTCTTCTGTCCTCCTCCCCCTCCCCTCCCCTGCCTCATCTCCCCCAGTAATGGGGATCGACCCTAGGGCCTTGTGCATGCTGGACGATCACTCTTCTGCTAAGCTGTGTCCCTGCTCACCCTTGACAGGGCTTCACATGGCAAGTGTTCATCACTCACATGTGGCAGGCACGATCACGTCCTTTGACTTACACACAAGCTTCCTTGGTCTGACTGGGTCCAGCCTTCAGTATTGCTGCAGCCTCCTCAAGTTGAAACTACAAAGCCAGTGACGGCAAACTTGAAAGGAGAGGGAGCCGTCAGGAAATGAGGTGCCGGTGAAGGGCTGAGCACCCCTCACAGCCTTGAAACCAAAGGCAGGCTAGATTCATTTACTGAGCTGTCACACAGCTGGAAAACAGAAGGGTACACTGGCACACCAGCACCGTGCTCTGAGTTCCATAAATGCAACTAAGTGTGTCTAACCTGTGTCTTTGGTTGGTTGTAATGTCTGCTAATTCATTTCAACATGGCACGGCTGAGCTAGGGACCCGAGTAGCATTTCCATAAGGTGATTCAGTCAGCTCTAGGGTCTCAGATTTTAGCCAAATCATAGGTATATATGAGGCCTAGGAAAGGAGGGAGACGGCAGGATCCCTGGAACAGTTACACCCCCAAACTGGTCCAGCTCATTGGGATCTGAAGGTGGCGTCTGCTGCCCGGGGTTTAAGATCGTGGGGTGTCAGAGCATCTCTTTCACATCCTCTCCTACACCTCGTACTCAGTTAGCCAAGAGCCCAGCAGACAGTTGGTATGGCAGGGATACCTGGGGCTGTGGGTGCTTTTTCTACCCAAAAACCCTGCTCAGGGTTCCGGGCATTCAGCACGGAGATGGCAGTGGAGTCCAGGGGACGGGAAGACTGAGGCACGTGACCCTGGATGTGACAGGAATCGACAGATAAATGAGCCTTGCAGGAGGGATGAAAGCACCACGTGGACACTCTCAGGTCTGGGGGTGTTGAAAACCCCGGCACATTTGGATACATTTATGGAGTTGAGAGCACGGTGCTGGGTGTACTGGTGTACCCGGCTTGTGCAGTAGCTTGGTGAGCCCGTCTCGGCCTGCTTCTGGTTTCCAGTTGAAGCAGCAAAGCCATGCACACCCCCTTGCCTCTCGGCTCTCCTGCCCAGTTTCTAGCTGTGATTTGAAGGTTCTTCAGAGTAATAGATGTCCCACTGGGACTCGCTTGCTAAGCGTCATTGTTCTGCAGTGAGGGCTTTGTGCTTCTTGTAACCCAATGAGCTCACAAGTAATATTTTAGAGGCAACAAGATATTTTGACAATTATTTTTGAAAACTTTTGCTTAAAAATTTTAAAACGTGATTTGATCATGTCAGCGTGTTTTCTGTTGGGATATGTTTAAAAAATATTTTATTATTTTTATTTTATGTGTATGAGTTATTGCGTGCATGTGTGTGAGTGCACCCATGTCATGCAATGCTGCGGAGGTCAGAAGAGGGCTTCAGATTCCCCTGGAACTGGAGTTAAGGACGGTTCGTAGTCGCCATGTGGGTGCTGGGAATCAAACCTGGGTCCTCTGCAAGAGCAGTCAGTGCTCTTAACTGCTGAGCCATCTCTCCAGCCCCATTCTGTTGGGATATTTTAAATGTGCAATTATCGCTCAGTAGGAAAGGAACAGCCCTCTGAGAACCTGTCTTGCTTCTCACCTGGCTCATGAGTATCTACATTTGATTCTCACAGAACCTGTGGGAAATGATGGTTCAGAATGCTGGAGTGAGCCTGGCTTGGGCTTATTTTCCAGGAATCATGTGCTATACTTCACATGTATTTAATTGCTAATAAGAATTTTGGTCCACACAGCCATGCCCCATGAAGTCACATGTGACTTCATTTATATAAAATTTAGAACACACACATTGACATAATATATGTACATTCATACATATCCACACACATATATACATACACATACATATATACATGCATGCACACATCCACACATACATCCACACACACATATGCAGACATGTTAGCCCTCAACATGAGAATCCTGATAGGGAACCGTGCTTGATGTCACCTCAAAGACATAACTTTACAAGCCTGTCTACAGCAAATGCCATGGTGAGTACGTGTGGACTTGCCCGGTCACTGTGCCCCTGGCCCACTGTGGTATGGGGTCTGCACAAGCAAAGTCAGCTCTTACATTAGCTGGTTTATGATGGAAAGACATGATAATTGGCTGGGCCTCCTAAAGTGCAGGTCTATAAACTTTAGTTCTGACTGCAAGGATAGAGTCTAGATGGAAGAATGCTGGGTTGCTCTGGCTTGACCTTGCTTCTTGGTTAGTTTCCGGCTAACCCATCCAGGTTTGCAGTCGGCATCTTCAGAGTCTTGCTGACCCAGGCTTGTGAGATGGAATGGAAGGATGGATGTGCCAAACCCCAGGAAACTCCCAATAGCCTCAAGAGATGTTCCCCCACCAACCGCTTAGTCTTCTAAGCAACCTGTGCTTAAATCCTGTTTCACATTGCTTTGATCATGTACTGCACAGTTTGAGGGCCTGGGGCAGGGTGGATGCATCCTGAGGGTGGTTCCAGAAGCCTGTTTGTGCCTAACATTTTCCCATGAACAACTCCCAGAGGGCAGGCACACTGGATAACTGAGAGCTGACCATTTTTGCATGAATATGGTCATGTCTCTTCTGTGTGGCGCCTCAGGCACTGATGGCGGCCTCTGGGATGCTTCCCCAGCCATCTTTCAGTCCAAGCTCTGCAAAGTGAGTCACCCGACTTCCGTGTCTTCACTTTGCTGACAGTGTCCACACATGTCCCCCAGCAGGGACAGTGGGGTTTTCTGTTTGGTAACAGGTGGGAATTCTTGGCTGAAATGAGACTGTTATTCTCCAGGTTTGTTTGGTCTCTATTTCTTGCAGTCTCTTTATTGAGAGTCGGTGGCAGGATGGTTCTCTGTGTCCCTTTCTTTCATCTGAGCCCAGAGGTTTGGACAGGCGGGTAGAGCAGTAGGGCCTGGAGCTCTGACCTTACCCCTGCGTTGCTCCCCAAAGGAAGAGTCATCCTCCTTTTTTTCTTACCCATCAAAGTAACACGGGGAAGGTATATATTCTCACTTTACATTCGGAGTTAAACCTGGGCCGAGGTGGAGCAAGACTTTGAGAGTTTTTTAAGGGCCAAAGATTTGAATATTAGAGGAAGAGGACTCCTCCATGGGGTGTGTTCATGAGGTGCTCTGGGGAAAGACGAATCACAGTGTAAACACCTTTCAGCCCCCCTCTAGTTCTGACTTGTTTATTTCTCTGCTCAGGGGGTGAGAGAGAGGTGATCAGCTAGTGAAGGCTGCTCAAAGCAGCCATTGGAGACGTCTGCACACTGATGGGGAAAAGACCAGGGTGGACACAGAGTGGTGCACACTGGCTGTCTATGTATGTCTCCTGCTCACAGACACACACACACACACACACACACACACAGTGATGCACACCAGCCACCCATGTATGTCCCCTTGTTCATTGACACACAGGAAGTGGTCCATGCTGGCCACTTGTGTGGATTCACTGTTCACCAACACATAGACAGTGTTCTACACTGCTACCCATGTGTGACCTCTGCTTACTTACACACACAGTGTTTGGTACACACTGGCTACTCATGTGTGTTCTCTGTTCACAGACACACACATCCAGTGGTGCACACTGGCCACCCATGTATGTTTCCTATTCATAGACACATAGGCAGTGATCCATGCTGGCCACTTGTGTGGATTCACTGTTCACCAATACACGGACAGTGTTCCATACTGACCACCCTTGTGTGCCCTCTGCTTACTGACACATACAGTATTCTACGCTGACCACCCATGTATGTCCTCTGCTTGCTGACACATTCACATAGTGCTCTACACTGGTCACCCTTGCTCAGTGACACATAGATCATGGTCTGTGCTGGCCACCCATGCGTGTCTCCTGTTCTCTGCTGGGTATTGGGTTATGACAGCATCTCCTTTAAGAGAATCTGCATCTCGGGAGGAGCCTAGAACCCTTTCTTGGTATCCCTGGACTCCTCAGAGCAGATAGAATCCTAGCCCATCCTGGAGCCACCTATTTCGCCTAGAGATGAAGCAAGGCTTGAGGGATAAAGTTTCTGCCTCCTCCAAGGTGAAGCCCAGCCCCCATCTCAAGCAAAGGGAAGTGGTTGTGCTTCCCAAGGGCGGTGGGAAAGGACCCAGCAGGTGCTGTTAGCAGGATGCTGCATTGCACGCGACGTGCCCTTCATCCTTTCTCTCTTCCTCTCCCCTTCTTGCCAGCCTCATCATTCCTGGTCATGTGATGCCTTCCATTTTCCCATAGAATCCAGAGCCCTCCTGTGCCTAACCAGCTGAGACATTTGACAGAGTTGGGAGTACTGGCTTGGAGTTTTCTCATTTGAGCTCATCTCAGTGTTGAATTCCCAAACAGAATAGAATGAGAAGCTTCAGAGGGTGTGGCTGGGTCGCTTTGCTTTGGAATCCATCTCCTGAGGCGGGAGAACAACGGACGGGAAACGGATGCGCTAAACCTCCTCAGCACACACTCTTGAGTGTATTTCGGTGTCGGACCTTAGGCCAGGTGGTGGGTGTGAGGAAATGTTAGAATCAGAACTTCTCATGAAAGAGCATGGCTGGTGACCAGTGTGGCCTTTCTAAGGCAAGTGGGGCCAGCATAACGGAATGTGGCCCCCCAGTTCCCGAGGGAGACCATCCACCCGGTTCCCGAGGGAGACCATCCGAGCTGGGTTCTTTTTGGGTTGTCACATGCAAGTTGGCCCTTCAGACAGTAGGAAATCACTTTCTCTGGGAATAAGCCCCTTGGTGGTCAGGGTCACCTTGAGCTGCCTGTTTCCACTAAGCCCGTGTCCCCTGTCCCTGTGTTTCTGTCTCTTTCAGTGGCATCACCCCATCTCCTGTCAGAAGTTCAGACCGCCTTGTCCCCTCCTTTACAAATACTGTTTGCCAAGATCTGTTGACTCTGACTCTGCCCCATCCCTTCGCCCCCTGTTCCCTGGCGGATACCAGGACACTGGCCAAAGCCTGCACGGCCTCTGTCTCCCCAGCCCCATCTTCTGTCCATAGCCCTTTTGTTGTTCACTGTCCTCATTCAGTTCCGTTCGTGTCCCTTCTCTCTCATGTGAACTCCAGTTGATCCCCATGGATTTCGGAATGAAATCCAAACTTTTCAGCTCGCTGGCTAGGCTCGTGTTTTTCCAGTGCTGGTCCCGATGCTCTCTTTAGCCTCAGTCACTTCAGAGCTCGTGCTGCCCGTTTCCCCAAATGGCCACGCCCTCCGCTCGGCTGATTGATCGGCTCTTCCCTGGTGTATTTTGGGCGTTGCAGTTTCTTCCCCTTTCGGCGCTGTCCCTTCCGGATGCAACGTCTTTTCCTGCCGAGACCCACCTAGCTTCTACTCATCCTTCAGGGTCTTGCTGTAATGTCCTCTCTCCCCAAAGCCTTCCTCTACTCCCCAGCCTGGGTTGGATGCCTTTCCTAGAGAGTCTTGGCCTCAGCATCCTGCCCTTGTCTCTTCCCTTGAACTTGTCAGTCAGTCTCCCTGTCTAGAGGTCACACACTCTGAAGTCCGAGTCTGTAACTTGTTTATCTTCCTATCTCCTGTTGCCCAGCACCATGCCTGGTATATAGTAGTTCATTTATAGAATCAACACATGGCTCAGTGAATATATTCTTTCATGTGACTTGGCCTGGATGCTATGGTCTAGAAGGAACTCCTGGGTTGGAACTGGGAGAGAGCTGCCTTCCTTCCTGCAGACTGGCTGGAGCCTGCTTGTCCAGGCTAGAAACCTGATGGGAAATTTCATGGCACCTGTTCATTTTCCATGCTGTTCATCTTCCCCACTCAGCAGATGTCCAATTGTTTAAGAGACATGCTCTTAGAAGGAGACCCAGAGCTAGTCCAGAGCCGAGGGACCAGGCTTGGGTCAGGGAGACACCTGGCAGTCCAGGCACTGCCCCTTCCTCCTTTTATGTGGACTTGACTGGTGCTACCTGAGGTCCCCCTGGAGCAGGGGTGGGGTGGGGTGGGGTGGTGATGGGATGCAGTGATGGCGGTGGCAGAGCCCTTGCTGGTGTGTGCGTGCACAGCAGCTTTCATCCCAAGTGAAGATACCCTTCCTGTTCTTGAGACACTTCATGGAATTCAATGTCAGTGTCGTTTTGAGTTGAAGGACAGCCTGACTCTGAAAGAGATTTTTACAAAGTCCCAGTCCACACAGCTCCCACAGCACATTCTAGTGAACACATTCAAAAGCAGCGGGTAGATGTGAAAGACCCCTGCAGAGTATGGGCTGTCCCCTCCTCCTGACTCCAGTGGGACTCCCATGGCCCAGCCACTGTACTCCTTTTCCAAAAGTGACAGAGGCCTACGGCTCTCTTCTTGAGAGGGTAACGGTGCCTCTAGTGTGCATTAAGCCCATTGCTTCCAAAATAAAATAAGGAGATGTTTTAGTGTTGATATGCTGATCAAAATTTATTCATATTTAATTCTTTTCAATGAAAATCTATTATTTTTATTTTATGTGTATGAATGTATTGCCTGCATGTGTGTGAGTGCACCTGTGTCATGCAGTTCTCACAGAGGCCAGAATAGGGTGCTGATCTCCTGGAACCGGAGTTATGGACAGTTGGTAGCCACCATGTGGGTGTTGAGAACCGAACTGTGGTCCTCTGTAAGAGCAGCCAGGGCTCTTAACCACTGAGCTGTCTCTCTAGCACATTATAATTACAAAGGTTATAATTCTTAAAGGTTATGCAAAACCAGGCCATTCTTTTCCTTAGTTCCACTGTCCTCTGGATTCTAAGTCAGTCTTGGGAAGGTACTCCAGGGTAAAACTTAGAAGGCTCAATTTCTGCTGCAAGGCACCAAATACTGCTGTATGTCTAAGAATGAAAATGACTTGCATAGTCCTGCTTTTAGTTGCATATGAAACAGTTGCATACTCCTGTTTACGTGCTGTGGACCCCACATGCATGTGGTTGGAGATTGGTCTTGAGAATGCGACAGGTTTCCAAGGTCCCATGGGACAGCTGCCCTGGTCCTAATCTTGATTCAGATGTTGTCTGTTAGATGTTGGAATGGATCGTTGTCTTTGGGGGACTTTAAGAGCAGTAAGAATCACTGAGACTTTTAGATTCTCAGAAAAGACCTCTCCTGCATGACCCTTCCCCTTCCAACACTGACAGAAACCCCTTCCCCTTCTTCCATCCACCCAGGAGTGAATCATTTTTTATTTCCTGGCCTTGGGGGAGGCAATGCAAACATGGCTAGTTTGATCATTTACAATCCTGAAATGGATCAGCTCCTGTAAGATCAGACAGTGGAGGAGCTGGGACCAGTCTGAGGCAAGTCATCCAGTCAGACAACCATCTCAATTTCCTGATCAGAGCCAGTGAAAGAGCCTTGAACCAGAGGGGAAATCTGGGTTCTAGATGCTGCCTCCTTTTACCTTTACAAAAAAGGTTTTAAAACCTGCCCTGCCTGCATCTCCGGGTTACCATCAGAAGAGAGTTCAAGTGCATTGGAAAAGCAAGTTACTGCACAAATCTCAGCACGCCTGGGTGGATTTCTGAGCATCAGTCCTGTGTTCAGGCGTGGGCGGTGACTCACCGGAGCCCCAGAGGACACTGGGCATGGCTGTGTTCTGTGGGGTCACTGGGGTGGCTGTGTCTCGGCTCTTTCAGTATGTGGCTGACCTTGTCTCTCTCTGCTCTTCCACCTGCTTCAGGCTGGGGGAAGTTTGCTCGGCTGACCAGAGCTCTGACAAGCAGCAGGGGCGTCCTGCAGCAGCTGGCTCCCAGCGTGCAGAAGGGCGAGAATGTCCACAAGCACTCACGCCTGGCGGAGGTAAGAGGGGGCGAGTCCCATCAGCCTCACTCCCTGGGGGCACATGGGCAGAGCATGTGGCCCAGAACAGGTGTGCTGGTACCTCCAGCCTCTTGCATGGTGTGTTGGTCTTGTCTGGGCTGCATAAACCATGGTACATGACTGTAGGTAGGTGACTTGACTCCTTTGGGGTTTGTACTTTTATGTGTGGAAAAGCAGACTGGAGACAGCCCTGTAGTCCGTGTGTGAGATTACAGGTGCCAGCTCACTTTTCTGAGGATGTTGGAAAGGAGCTAGAAGTGCTTCTTACATGTCAAGGATTTTTTTTTTTTAACGTCTAGGTCTTTTATCTCTTCTTGTACATTAAGCCATGAACTCATAGGGAATGGGCTTCAGCAGCTCCTGCTCCTTTCTGTTGGTTCTCACAGCGTGCTTCTCTGGGTGGGGTGGGCTGGCGCTTCTCCTGAACCCAGGTCCCTTTCTCTCTGGCTTCCTTTCTCTCTGGTCATTTTCCTTCACACGCTTCAGGAAGCTGCCTTGGCTCTTAGAGTGCTTAATATGCTCAATACGCACATTAACTCTCTTGGCAAGAATCTTACCCTTAACTTGTTTGATACAGCGATGCCAACAGCACGCTGAGTGGCGTTGGAGACTCCCAGTTTTGCCGCGGTAGCATTTGTGGGGCATTCCTTTTTGAAGAGCACCCATACCCTTGATGTCTGCAATGTCACCCTTGTGTCGATCGGCATCTGTGTGGCCAAAGGAGCAACGGCGTGTTTTCTAAAAGGCCTAGAGAACACGTGGCGGTCCCTCCCTCTTCCTCTTTGTGTTTGTTTTGGCAAATCACCGGAAGATGGCTGCTCTAGCCAAAAGCTATTTTTTTAAACTTATAAGGCATAAACAGTTTTGTTATTTGAGCAACATATATGACTCAAGGAGACCATGATGCAGGAATCAAGACGCAAGAAAATAAAAGTCTCCCGTGATCCCTCTGGACTCGTAGCACCCTTACAGTTTTCCTTTGTACGATGTCAAAACAAACCTTTTTTCTGTAAGCAGCTTGTGTCATGTAATCTGTCACAGCAACAATGGAAGTAGCTAACATACTTAGGGAAAAAGGACTTACCTCGAAACTTCAGTTAAACCTCCTCAGCTAAAGCTCTTCAGAAGTAGGAATCCAGTCTCAGAGACAAAGAAATTCCTGACACGTTGATGCTTATGAGGTGGTGATGTGGCTGAGGATCGCTGTGCACAGGGAACATGACCACATCATTCTTCCTTCACTTTCTTTTTAAAATATTTTATTTTTGATTTATTTAAATTTGTTTTTATTAAATTGTTATGTATTATGTATCTGAGCGTATTGCCTGCAGGCCTCTAAGTACACCCATATTGTGCAATACCCACGGAGGTCAGAAGGGGGCGTCAGATTCCCCTGGAACTGGAGTTGCGGACAGTTGTTAGCTGCCGTGTGGGTGCTGGGAACCGAACCCGGGTCCTCCCCAAGAGCAGCCAGTGGTCTACCCACTGACCCATCTCTCCAGCCCCTCCTCCTTCTCTTTATACAACCCTTTTCGGGTTAGTAATAATGTTCTTCAAGTTATTGTTTTGATGGCCCCCGAGGGACGATCTGGTGGTGATATCTGTTTGCTAGGACATGGAGAAGGCAGGAAACCCTTGGGACACACATGGCAGGTTTGGTACAGCCTCTTTTCTCTGTCCTGTGCCTGGTTTTCAGTTTCCCAATGAGACCAGGGTGGGACCAGTTCGGGGTATCTCATGCCCTGCGTAGCTCATGCCTCCACCTTACCTGAGTGTGACAACAGAAGCTCTCACTCTGCCTTGAGAAGCCAGTCAGCCCTTGAGCTGTGGTTGAATGGTGCAGCCCTTTCTGACCTAACTTCTCACTCCCATTTTGCAAAGGGAGAAACTCCCATCATGCTGAGCTCCAGCAGGTGCTCTGCACACATGCGGTGCCTGTGATGTGAGCCGGGTGACACAGGCTCTCCAGGAGCTTTTCCCAGCAGTGGGGTTGGGGAGTGTTCATTTCCGTCATTTCCGTCATGTGAGGAGAGACCCTTGAAGGGTGGCGGCATCGTTTTTCGTCATGACGATTGGTTGTGATGGACTACTGAACGAGGCCTTCTGACCGACGGCTCTATTTCCCTGCTTCCTCTTGTGGTTGATGACGTGACCTTCGGTCCTGTGTCTGTCCCTTCCGCTCACTGTCACGTGGCCCTCCTGGCTTCCAGCTGTTCCCCTCATGTACGCCTTAGGCTGGCTCTTCCCATTGATGCCTGCGTGACGTCGCCTTCAAGTCTTTGCTTAGATGTCATTTTCTCTGTGCAGTCAGGGCTTTGCCAGACAAACAGCAGGATATTTATGACAAGATTTGCTAGAGGAGCTGGCTTCTGTGACCCTGACCGTCGGCTCTCCAAGTCCCAAACTCATAATGAGGTGAGGGAGTAGAAGCCGAAGTTCACGGCGGATCCTTTTCCCGTAGGAATGTTAGTTGCTTCTCATATTGCTGTGACAAAATACCTGAAGCAACTTAAGGAAGGAAAGGTTTGTTTTGGCACGGTTTGAGGGATGAAGTCTGTTGGGGCGGGGAAAGTGTGGGGCAGGAAGTGAGGCAGCTGGCCAGATGGCAGCCACAGTCAGGAAGCAGGGCGAGATGAGGGCTGGTGCTCGGCTTGCTTTGTCCTTTTTACCCAGGTAGGACCCCAGCCCATGCTGTGGGGCTGCCCATGTTCAGGGTGGATCTTCCCTCCTCAGTTAAAGCTCTCTGGAAACAAACCTCACAGACACATCCAGAGGTGTGTTTCCTAGGTGATTTCACATCCTGTCAAGGTGACGAGCAAGGTCGGCCAGCACATCAGGAAAAACTTGTTCTGTTTTTGAGGTCTTTCATCTTATTGGATGAGTCCTGCTCACATTATAGAAGCGTTCTGTTTCCCTCCCCAAAGGTAACTAGTTATCGATGTTAATGATGTCTGCAGTGTAGTTTATAGGACACTTACATGCATGTTTTCTCGATAATCGGCTATCACGGCCTAGCCAAGTTGACACATAAAACTAGCCATTGCAGTTCACCTTCAGTGGGATGGTCACACGTTTCCTTAAGCCATGCTTAATCTCCCAGTGAGACAGTAACACAGTCACACCTCTGCCCTGCATGAACGTCCTGTGTGCGATGGAAGACATGGTCACTCCTCCCAGAAGGGATGCAGATTTCAGGGACTTCTCTTACTCTTCATGTCCTGTTCTTAAACGCAGAGATGTAAAGTTAACTGTTATCAACACATATCACACTACGAGAGGAAAAAAGGACGAAAATAATTAAAGTAAGGGAGAGACATAGCCCTGCGCTGGTTTGCCTTTGTCAACTTGACACAAACTCCAGACACCTGGGAAGAGGAGACCCCAAGCTGAGGAACTTCTTCCGTCTGTCAGCCTGTGACATGTCTGTGAGGCATTTTCTCAGTTGGTGATTGATAAATGAGGGTCCAGCTCTGTGAGCAGGGCCATCCCTAGGCAGGCGGGCCTGGGCTGTGTAGGAGGGGTGGCTGAGCAAGCCGGGGGGAGCCAGCCAGTGAGCGCCTGCCTTGTGCTCCTGCCTTGGCTTCTCTTGGTGCACTGTAATGTCTAAGCTGGAATAAACCCTTTCCTTCCGAAGTTGCTTTTGGTCAGTGTTTTATTACAGTCACACAGAGTAGCTAGAACTGAGGTTGTTACCGGGAGCACAGGGTATTGCTGTGATGGGCCTGGCCTGACCATGTTATTTTTAGGGAGGACTGTGGAAGTGTTGGGAACTTTGGACTGCAAAAGCCGCTGAGCTCTTGGAGCTTAATGAGCTGTCGCTGTGGAGCTTGGAACACTTATGCTGAGAGAAATGTGGGTGATGGAGGCCTGGCTTGTGAGGTTGCAGAGGGACATTTGAGAGTCCATTGAAGACTCTAACAGGGCTGTTCACATGATATTTTGGATTAAGAATCTGTAGAAATGAAACCTTTGTTTTATTGGGACAATAAGGCTGGTTTTAGTGTGTGTATGAGAGAGAAAGAGAGAGAGTGAGAGAGTGAGCTAGAGAGAGAGTCAGAGAACAATGTCTGGGAGTCAGTTCTCTCCTTCTACCTTGTGGATCCTGGGGATTGAACTCAGGTTGTCAGGCTTAATGGCAGTTTCCTTAACCCACTGAGCCATTTTGCTGGCCCGTGTTACTATTATTTTGCCCAAACTATCATGCTAGATACTTAAAAATAGCAAAAAGGAAAATTGTTCTTACCCCTACAGCAGTGGTGTCAGCAGGCACAAGACCCATGCAAACTCAAACAGACAAAAACTCAGCACAGAACTGCAGAAATGAACAGCAGGCCCAATCTTAGCTGAAGAATTGTTGGGAAGCTGATTACTACTAGGTGAGGAAGACTGATCTTCTTGAAGGAGGGACTCTAGATAGGCTGACTAGATCTCAGTGGATGAACTTGCACTGAGGGACATCTGGGGACACTTAACTGTACATGATAGGCCTTAACATCAATGACAGAACAGATGAACTCCAGTGGGGGTGGGGGCTATGGGAGGGGCCAAGGGGGAAGGGTGTAGAGATGATTCTCTGTATGAAATACACAAAAATTCAATGAAAATTAAAAAAAGAACAGCAAATGCTTTTAACTGCTGGGAAAAAAAGAAAATTGTTCTTTATCCCCTCTCTGGTGGTCTTCCGATCTTTACGTAGGTCTGGTGTAGGGTCTGTATCATTTTCCATCTCTGCAGTAAACCTCTTTTGATATTTCTTACAGTCTCCCAGCAACACATCACCTGATTTGTATTCATCTGAGAAAGTCTCTGTTTTGCCTTCGCGCTGGGGGACGATTTTGTGCAGTGCAGATTTATAGGCTGATGTGTATTTTTCTGTCAGTTCACTTAAGTCTTACTTGCATGGCTTCTAAGATGTTGGAGGTTATTCCTATCTATGTCTCTGAAGGTTGGGTGTGATGGTTGGTGTTAATTGTCATCTT